ATCGGGGGGGCTCATGGTTGTTCCCTCACTGTCTCCCCGCTGACCCAGGCCAAGTACTTGACCAAGAAGACCCAGGCTGCAAGCGTGGAGGCTGTGAAGATGCTGGATGAGATCCTGCTGCAGCTTTGCGTGAGTGCTTGGAGCAGGATGGGGTTGGCCGGCGACTTGGGTGCCTTCCTGGGGAGGGAGCCTGGCTCCGGAGCCAGGGAAGCAGCGCTCTGCCAGCAGCCCCAGGGCTGTGGGTGGCAAACACCCCTTCCCCAGCCCCCAGCTTCCCTTTGAGCACTGCATATGGTGCCGTACGGGAATGCAGCAAGAAGGGAAAGCAGCGCACAGCCCAGCTTCAGATCCCTCTCCCAGCATCTGGTCTCTGTGGTGAAGCCAAGCGGGGCTTCCTGCGCGGAAATGGCGGGGGGCCAATCGAAGGCGGGCCTCCCTGCGCGGAAATGGCGGGAGCCAAATCGGGGAGCGAGGCAGAGCCGGCAGCGAGCTCCAGCCGGGGCTTTGCTCTGAGCCCCTTCAAAGGAGGGTGGTTTGGTAATTCCCAGTAATCCCCGCTCTGCCCGCAGACCTCCGTGCCCGTGGACGTGATGCCTGGTGAGTTTGACCCCACCAACTACACGCTGCCCCAGCAGCCGCTGCATCACTGCATGCTGCCCCTCGCCAGTGCCTACTCCACGCTCCAGCTGGTCACCAACCCCTACCAGGCCGATGTGGACGGCATCAGGTAAAGAAATCCTGGTGTGCCACCAGCTCTGTGACAACTGCCAGTGGCGTGGGATCGCGGGGCAAGTACAGCCGTCCGAATCTCTGCTTCCTTCCCCCAAAATATTGTAGGTTTTTGGGGACGTCAGGGCAAAACGTCAGTGACATCTTCAAATACAGCAGCATGGATGACTACCTGGAGATCCTGGAGTGGACGCTGCTGGCAGGACACATCAGCCCCACGGCCCCAGACACCCTGGGTAAGGCGAGAGCTGGGTGGCCACCAAGGCTGGGGGTGGTTTGCCCGCCAAAGGGGTGCGGGTGCAGATTCCCCTCCTAATTTCCATCCCTCCCAGGCTGCTACCCCTTTTACAAATCGGACCCTTTCATCCTCACCGAGTGCCCTCACGTCTACTTCTGCGGCAACGCTCCCCGCTTCCAGTCCAAGCTGCTCAAAGGTGAGTCCCGCAGCCTGCAGCACCCCCCGATCCTCGCTCGGGGCGGGGACCCCGCGCCGGGGTGCCAACCGAGGGCTCATCCGCCTGATGCCTGCCCGTCTTTGCAGGGGAGGACGGGCAGCAGGTCCTGCTGGTGACGGTGCCTGCCTTCAGCACCACGCAGACCGCCTGCCTCATCAACCTGCGTGACCTCAGCTGCCAGCCCATCAGCTTCTCCGGCTTCGGGGCCGAGGACGATGACGGGGACATGGAGGTCGGGCACTGACTGAGCAGGCAGGGCGCGGACTCGATAAACCCCTGGCCTCTTGGAGGGTCCCGGCACCCACCGCCTTTGTGTCATCTCTGTCTGCCCTCCTGGGAGGGCTGGCATGGAGCTGTCGGGCGCCCGGGAGAGGAGAGATGCTCGTACCAATATAACTTGATTTATTTGTGTAACAAAAAACCGTGTGGAGGGGACAGGGGATGCGCCT